AAATAGTCGATTCTTATCAAAAAAAGCCAGTGCTGATCTCAGGAGCAGATTGAAAGCCGCTCTGTCCACACACCCTGTCCCTCCCACTGAAGGCCATTGTGTGCAAGCAGGCCTCTTTTGCTCTGGGCTTCCTGAAGGAAAATGACCATTACTGCCAGAATCAAACAATAAGGCCCGCTAACGATGTGTGGCTTAGAACAACATCACTGCTTCCTGCAGCTTATGGGCTTAACGAGCCCACTGGTTCCTAAAACAGGAAGTCAACGCAAAAGGAGAGACGCAAATACATTCTCAAACATACCCTGCTGAGGGAGACAGGAACGCATGCTTGGAAAACTTGCACCAGAATGTCATGATGGAGCCCATTAACAGAAGCACTCTAAGTTCCTGTCACTTCTGGCCTGCTATGCCTCTAGCACCTCACTTCACTGTAAGACGTAACGTCTTCCTTGGCTAACAACAGTGGAAAAACATCAGCTTGGGCAGTAAACATGGCAGGAATAAACGTCACGTTTGTCCTACAGTTTTCCCAGTCCCTCCACAGTCTGTGACTTCTGTGTTTCTCTTTACCCTAAGAGGCTGTAGACCCCACTAACCTCAGTTTTGAACTTTAATACATTGCAGTTCCTGCCTGAGTACATGAACTTTCATCACCCTCTTGGGTGATATCGCTCTGTTTCACCATTTTTCCACAAATAAGGCAACTGCCTCCTCCTCTGAAATTTGGCACAAGCCCTTGAAATTCCAGAGCTAAAACACTCTCTGTAATCTTAATATCTCCTTCTCTGTTTTCCCTCCATGAGTTCTCTCACATGTTCTGCCTATTTCATGCTAAAATGTAACTGTCTCGCTTGGTGGGAAAAAAAAAATCACAACGCACTGTGAATAAAAGCCAGATTCTCACCTGTTGAGAAAGGTGTTTCCAAATGGATTGAGTTTGCGGAAAGGCTTGTTAGGATCTACAATAAGGGCATTCCCCGGGATGACTGACTCCACGTCCCCATGCATGATGGCAGTGAAGCAGTCAGTGGTGGGTTCAGGACCTATCCTGCTCCCAGGAATATCCTGCTCCAGCAGATACCTGTAAATCAGACAAAAAGCTTGTAGTTTGTTTTGTTTTGTTTGTTTGTTTATATTTGCTGTCACTTAAATAAAGTAGAAATACTCAGGAAATATAAGAATGGGCAAATGTATACCATAGCATTGTAGTGTCTTACTTGATGAATGTTGTTTTTCCAGTGGAGTACTGTCCAACAACTAGCACCATAGGCTTATTGTCAAAATCTGCATCCTCCAAACTAGGAGAATGGAAGTCATGGAATCCATAGTACTGCTCCAGAGGCAGCAGTTTCTCGCGGTACAGGGACTTCAGTCCCTCTGTCACAGTGTGGATCACCTCAGGCGCCTTCTTCACATTCTTTCTCCCCCAGCGTGACATATTGATTGACAAGAGGATAGAGAGCTTCTTGCAAAAATCGGTGTCAGAGTTATATCAGTTGCTTGGAGTTATATTTCCTGTGGCCAAGCCTTGGAAAAACCTTCAGGTGTTTCCTGTATTTATACGAATGCTGCTCACTTGTCCTTGAGCACTTCTCTGCACACACTTAGAGAAACGATAGGGCTGGCGTTTAGTTTAAAGTTGGGAGTTTCTCCTTTGAGTCAACACACTGAAACCTTTAGATCCTGAAACGCAGAGAGAAAATGAGGCAGGTAGAGGTTTAATCAAACAGAAAAAAAGAGATAACTCCACATCCCAAAAGAAACCCGTGTGTGCTTGATCAAAGTCTGCCACATTCTAGAGTAACAATGTGGAATCTAAAGCAAACTTCAGCCCACCCTCAGTCTGCCAAGCATTTTCAGTGGATGCCTGGAAAAAGTTGGTGTTCGTGCTGGAAAACTTGCAAACCCAGCCCTGCATCAGGATTTGCTCAGGCACAGCTCATGCCTTTACAGTGAAATGAGTAAGACATTCTTTTATCCGCTGCAGTTCCCCTAAGTGGAACATGTAATTCATGCACAGGCTGCTCATACAAGGAGACATCTCGGGAGATAGTGTTCTCATGGAAAAACAAATGTAACCCTTGAGTAATTATCTTTTTACAGCAGTCTATATAAACAGAAACCCTGGATTAAGAGTCAAAGGCATAACTCATTATAGAAAGAGACTGACGTTAAGGAAGATAGGCAAGACACATGTCAACAGATGTTAGCTCATCTGTGAAGAGCTTCTCTTGCAAATCCAATTTGAACTAGGATATTAAAAAATCTCCCCCCGAGGAAAACAGTAATCACAGTCCTGACATGTCATAAGACCAGTGTGGAAAGCCCTCTTGTCAAAATGGCGAACCCTGGAGATCTAATGGAGAGGCATTAAATGTTGCCATTATATACAAAAGTTCTGCTGCGGCCAAGCTGTACGAGTAAACGTGGATTTATGGTCTCACTGTGAAAATCAAAAAGCTGGTTTAAGCTTTGGGATCAGTTTATAATGTTTAAGGATGAAGGAAAATGCCTCGTGGGTTTGCACACCAGAATTGCAACAAAAGTTTGGACTTGGAACATGGAAAGTAACATTGAAACGTGCAAGAGCAGCAAGTATCAGGGGAGTGAAAAATATCAGAAGCCTATACAGAAAGTTATTTAGCTACTTTATAAATTGTTGCACTCATTATATACCAAATCAAAGCTTAGTTTTCTCTGTACTTTACAATTACAGCTACATATTTTCAGTTCAAATGCAAGCCAATCATTACTGCCACATGTAAAGTTTAAAAGGAGTATTTACCAAGTTATTATGCAGGCTTCTTCAGGGAGTTCCCTCCAGCTCTCCAATCTTGCCCTCTGGAGCCTGGAAAATATTTTGGCTTAAGGAGATGAAAACAGTCTCTTGGGGAGCTGCAGCTACATGTATGGGTGTACCTCTAACAGCAAATAGGAACCCTCAGTGGAGCGTCAACGCAGCTGAATTAGAGGATTGTTCTTCTCCTGGGTTTAATGTATTTCAGATGAGCTTCAGATCATCTGGAAAGGGTTCCCAAAATCTGCTTGCTGAAAAAACCCAAGGCAAACACTCAGACACACAGGCGCACCACACCGAGGATATTTTTTTTTTCTCTCTCTCCTTGCTTGCTTCTCGAAGTTTAATACACCTCCTCTTCCAGGGATGCCTGGCAATATGTGGGCAGCACTAACACTCTACTCAGGGCAAGGATGAGCTAAGTCGTGGCTAGAGGGCGTGGACTGGAGGAGGGGGTTGCGAATAAATAATTTGGGTGGAGTTGCTTTTTTAAAAAAAAAAGAAAAGAAAAAAAGACAAAACCTCCCACAGTCCTTATGCACATTTTAAATATATACAACTTCACTCTGCAATCTTTTGACTATACCTTGGAAACTCCTTGTTTTACAATAATTGTATTTCAGTATAATCACATGCCTTAGATTTAGACATGCCAGTCCCCCACCCCCCATGTAAAAATGACTTATTCTTTCCAAATTCTGCGGATGCTCCAAGCAATGACGCATACAAAACAGCTCTATGATTTCACTTCTATGCACCACCTGCTGACTGTCTGATAGAGAACACACCCCAGTGCTGAAACCATTACCACCATCTCCTCCTCCTGACTATCATACAGTCCTCCTCGGTCAGCGTTAGTAAACGAAAGGAATGCAGCCTCGAGTGGTGGAACAAAGTTGAGGAATAAAAGAGTAGAGGACAGGACGCTGCAATATTTCATAAAAGAAGCAAGGTTTAATTTACAGTTTTACTAAATGTACATTTTCTTTTTAAAAAGTGTCATTATACACAATAAATACAATACAAAATTAATCTGTAATACTATACTTCAAATTCTCTTACGGTCTTTTTTGTACATTATTATTGTTCCTTTTTTTCAATTTCAATGCTTGTGCTGTGTTTGTGTTTGAATTGTCCACCAGGCTTATACAAAGGGGGAAAAATAAAACAAACAAACAAAAACAAAAACAAAAACTCAAATGAGGCAGGCATACAGTGACAGGAAGATCCAAAAGACAGAAAACACAGAAACCTTGCCTGACCCCTGCTGACTGAAATGCATAAAGTCCTAACCTGGCATCACAGGCAACAGGGGGTGAGTGGAGGTGCAGTCTAAAAACAAGAAACTGGAAAATCATCTGACAATAGAAGCAGAAAAAATGCATTTCTTACAAGTTCATTTACATCCTGACAGTACAACAGCATCTGAGCAGTCAATTTCAAACCAATTTTACAAACGTTCAATTTTTTCCTCTCAACATTTACTTAAAAAAAAAAAAAAAAAAAAAAAAGACATGATATCTGTTTAAAATGGAGACACACAGAGGTTGATGGTACTCAGTTTTTTCAATTCAAGAGGAGTTTACCTTAAGACCAAAGCAACTGATATTTAGGGTTAATATACTACATAAAGAAGCGTGGTCTTGATAAAGAGTTGGACTGCTTCATTTTAGCATTTCTTGTTTGCATCTCTGGAGCAGCACTATCTTTGCGATAAGAGAATCAAATATGGTAGGTCCGGCAGCACACTGGATGTATTATGACTGTTTACAGTACTACACTGCTGTAACCTCTTTGGCCTTTCTTCTGCAGCTCTCTTAGTGAAAAGCTGTTACCTTTTAAACTGTTTGAATAAGATGCCTGATGCTCATTACGACACTGATTAAACCAGAAGATGAACCGCTGTGGACAGAGACTGGTGCTCAGACCACATGAAAGGAATGTATGAACAAGTGAATGAGGGAAAAAAAAAGACCAAAGTGAAAAAGAAAGACAGAATTAGAGAACAATAGTCACTGACAATTTCATCTTGTTACTCGATTTTGGCTGAGGGAGCACATCTGTCGAGCATGTTAAAGTCTGCAATTCACCATTTTTGACTATGTTTGTATTTCCATCATGGGGCAACTTTAGACTGTAAATGACAAAGAAATGTTTGGACAATTCAAATAAACAAACAAAGCCAACACAGCCTGGCAGAGTACTACAGTGATACTGTTTTCACAGTGCCCCTTTCCCCTGCCTCATTAAACTGTTTCATAGTTCCCCTTGTGAGTCCGAGGCTGAGGGGCTGTTATCTACTTTGAGTCTGGGGCACCAGGCTGCCGTTGTGGCCACGGCCACCAACCTGAGGGTGCTGGGCCAAGGAAGAGGACGAAGAAGCAGAGGAAGAGGATGGGACTGAAGGTCTGTGTGATGAGGGCGCTGAGCCCCCAGGGCGCTGACTTTGGTGTTGGTGGGGTCTGCTGTTGCCCCCTTTAATATGGTGTCCGCGGGTAGAGGGTTCCTGCTGCAGATTAAGGATGCTGTCAATGGCGCACTGCAGATGCTCATTCAGTGAGTCATCTGGAGGGCTGCCGCTGGAGAAGCTGGCGTTATCCATGTCAGGAGAGTCTGACTTGCAGCGTTTGGCAGGAAGCAAAGAGTCTCGTGTGAAGGAAGACTCTGGCGACGGAGGCCCAGGGGCATGCTGGTCCATCCTGAATGTTCCTCCTGCCTTATGTCGATTTTTTCCACTCAACCTCTTGTATTTACTTACATCTGTCTCTTGGTCTGTGTGCTCTTCCCCTCTCTCCTTTGCCCCTTCTCTGTCTAGAAGCTGTGGGAGATGATGGTGTTGCGTGGTTTTGATACCACGACTAAACACATCCATTTCGTCCAGCCCCTGCACTGCACTCCCCAAACGGCCAGTTTCGTGGCTTGAATCTGTGTGAGCGAGTAAGGCCTCCCTGTCTCTCTTCTCTACTTTCACACTTGCTATCACTGTCCGCTCTGAGGGAGGATTTGAGGCCTCGTGTCTGGGGGGTGATGGTGTGGTTCTGGGGTAGGACAAATTTTCATCTCCTCCACCTGGCACACCAGGTCTGACCCGAGGACTAATGTTTTCGCGGTAAGTTTTTCGAAGGGGAAGACGGCAAGTTGTCTGTGAGGAAGTGGCAGTAGAGGCAGGGTTGTGTTTGACCCCACCTGTGTCGTGGTGATCCAAAGTCCCATTCATTTGAATGGAAGATGAGGAGGTAGATGAAGACCAAGTATGGGATGAAGAGGTGGAGGAAGATGAGGCTGAAATGGTGGGAACACTTCCTCTCAGTGATGGGTTACACTGAGAGGTTGATATTGTGACTGACAAGCCAGACGAAGTAGTGCATACAGGGGACTGAGTTCTGATAACCGTGGCCGAAGGGGTTGATAAAGGGTGAACCTTCGCTTGTGATACAGCAGCTTCAGACTGCGGCTGAGTCTGGGACATAGACTGGCTGCTCAGCTGAGGTTGAGGTGTGTGCACTGGGTCTAAGGCAGTGTTGTGGACCACCTTACTGAACCCCGTTTGATCCTGCTTGATCTTTAGCTTCAAACCAATTCTCCTGCGAGCCTCATAGGTCTTGATAGGCGGTTTGCTCGTTCGCTGTGGAAGAGCATCATCGTCATCAGCCGCTTGAGAGTTTGATGTCGAGGATGAAAATGAGGATGACGATGCTGGAGTACGAACTGTAGAGATCTGGCTAGTGGGTTCAGCCACTGGCTTGACTGGTGGAGTTGGAGGAGGAGGACAGCTACTGGACCAGGACACAGATGCACTGCCTCCACCCTGCTTTATCACAAGCTTGGTAGGAGGGAAAGGGGAAAGAGAAGGGGCCGCAGAAGGAACTGAGACAGGAGAAGGAGCAGGAGCAGAAACTGGTGTGGGTGCAGGCGGAGGGTTTGGGGCAATGATTGGAACAGGGGATGGGATGGCAGCAGGAGCAGGAGCAGCAGCAACAGCAACAGCAGGCGCTGGAGCAGGGACAGCAGCAGATACCCCTCCGCTCACTGGGGTGGGTTCAGCAGATGATAATTTCTGCTGGGATGAAACACTCTCCAACATTCGCACATTTGCCACAAACTCTTCTGCAAGTAAATAAACAGAAATGTATAATTAAAATACACCTTCTTTATTTTTGAATACCTACAAAATGTTATTAATAATTCTATTAATTATTTATTAATAATTTAATAACCACAGACAGTGGTAAAATACCTGGCCTCTCCTTTGCCAAAATCTTGTCCTGGTTTAATGCAACCTTCTCCTCTTGAATGAACATCCGGTCGATCATCACCATCTCTGCCGAGGGGCCCAGTCTCTGCTCATGTTCATATGCCAAACAGCATCACTTTTAAAATCAATTCAGGACAAAAACGCACTAAGAATGCTTGCAGTGAACATGCTAATTTATAAACTTACTTTTGACTCTGCAAAGAGCAGGTAACGATATTTATCCAGCATGGCCTGAGTTCTTTTCAGCAGCTGGCTGGAGACCTTCTCAAATTCATCATCCACTGTGTAAAAGAGAACCAAATTGTTGAAAATTCTCAACTATAAATCAAGCAATACATTGGTAGCTTTATAAAACAGGCAATTTGTTACCTCTTTGATAATCTTGAGAAGAGTTGGCAGTTCCCTGGTAGAGATGGTAAGGCAGGAGTCTGTGCAGTGTGTCCTCAAATGAGCAGAAAGGGGCACTGTAGTTTGGGTGAAGCACTGAACCCTGATGTTTCCTTAGCTGTTCTAGCATCCTGCAGTGAAGTGTGTAAAATTAATACTGTTCACAAATATGGCTTTTAAGAATCAATTAAAAGAAGCCCTGGAAATTTACCATGGAACATACCTGGCTTCTTTACTGGGCTCTGCGCTGAAAGGCATTTTCATTATTGTCGTTGTCTGTAACAGGAACAAACAAATATAAAGTGTAACGGTTAAAACCCTTCATACTAAAACTTAAATACCAGAGGCAGTACAAACATGTAGCAACACTCATTTACCTGAGCTTGTATTGAAGCTGGGGGCTGTGGAGCAGGCATTTGAGTCAGACTAGCTCCCAACACCTGTATCTGCATGCCACCTTTCCCCAGAGTCACCCCTCCAACAGAGCTTATCACTCCTGGCTTTGGCTGAACCTGAGAAAGGAAAAGAAGAGGGAAATTTAAAAGAAGAAAGTGACAAAACATACAAAAGGAATGTATTGGGAAAATACTATCCCTGTTAAATTTTATATTCACTGACAAAGGTGGTAGAGTAGCACAAAATAACGCCAGGCAAATACCACACATATGTTCTTACTGGGAATAGGGTTATATTACATACCTGTGCAGGCTGGGTAAGGCTGGCAGGAGTGACAGTCTGATTCACCATTGCTCCAGCTTGCC